TCAGTTCTAGCTAACTGCTGGCATGCCTCTGAGATAATCTTTATCGGGTAGAGTGTAAAAGCAAGCTCACCTTTGCCAGAGCTGCTGAGCTGCCCCTTCCGCTGTGTTTGCAGAAGCAGCCCCATGAAGAACCAACACTGAGTGCCCCATAAAGAACTACATGAAGTACTAGAACAAAAGAAGAAGGGTACATGGGTCACAGTGTCAAGCCAAAAGGGAAAAGTGAATTTTAAGGAAAAGGTCCAACTCTACCAGCCCAACACAGAGCCTTTAGTTACATTTGCAGCGCCCTTCTCTAGTCAGACTCAAATTTCAGAGGCAGTACTATCACTTGGACTGTGCAGACTGGGAACTGTTTCACGTGTCACTATCTGTAATCACATATACATTGCCAATTTGCATGAAGTGGCATAATATTTGCCTCCTTAGAGTATCACAGGCTACCCTGAGCAGCATCATTAGCTTCTGTCTGATAAGTGACTGCTAATTAGTGGGAGAGATGAGTTTCCGTGCTGTGATGAGCTCTGCCTTTGGTGATATTTCAGCTTGTGCATCAATTTTAGAAGGAAGATCCCCAATACTTTTTCTTTATTTCTGAAAACACTCGTGTACTCTAGAGGTTTTCAGTCCCTCATTCTCTACTGAGAAGTGATGTGTTCTCTCTAGACCAATTTTTCTGAAACTGATGTATAGTAGGAGCACCACTCTCAGTGGTGCTGTATCATATAACGTTGGCTAGTGCTCCTGTCTGCAGCAGGAGTTACAGCACCAAGGTAAGTATACTATATATTCTAATAAGTAACTAGTATTCTAATGCAGACTATGCAAACAGAGATTTGGAGCTTTCAACCTAATTTGTGGCATATATATTAAAGAATGTGCTCTATGCTTAGCAGAGATTACACAGGGGTTATAATACGTAGAAACTGTAGTTCCAAAAGGCAGTTTTATTCTGCAACAGATCACTGTCATTTTACTGCATACTTACGCAAAACTTTCTGGTTTAAAGGGTACAGAAAAAGAACTCACTTAAAATGTAGGTATCAGCCTCCGTAGGAAAAAAAAAGCATTTAACAGTGCATATCAAGTGCACATCATTTATGTAGTATCAACAAACTGCAGTCTCTTCTTTAGAGAGGCCTTTGCACTTGGCAAGCTATTCAGTGGGCAAGATAAACCAGTACAAATAGCGGATAGTGAGTGTACAGATGCAGAACTGTGCAATTGTGTTAATCCACCAGGGATGGGAGGCTAAGAAAAACCAAATGTGTTATTTAAGGTAGAGATGTACCATATGTGACTGGTTCTGAAGAGAGCAAACAAAAGAACATAGCATATTCAATACCAGTGCGTGTGACTGAGGATACTTCTATTTCCCATCTACCTTGGGAATGCTGTCTGCATCTGGTCTGTCGATGCTGTTCTGCAGAAGTACTTCCATTTATTGATTAGGTCAGCATGCACCAACCCAGCAGTAGTTAATTGTGTATCTGCATAATTAACATTGCATTATACAGATGGATATGAGCGATCCCGCCTCAAAATAGCAAACTGAAATAGAAATTACTTGGATCCTCTTATTTTGAAAAGGGAGGAATTTGAGAGCAAGCAAAACTGAATCCAAAAAAAAAAAAAAAAAGCAAAACACAAGAAACGTATCAAAATGGAGTGCTACCCTGGGAGAAGAAAGCAGGAAGATAAATCTCCTTCGGTAGAATATTGATTGTTATACAGAAAGAAGGCAGATAATACTTAATCAAGAAGAAGGTGCCAGACGTGAAGTGGGCTCGCAGCAGACCCTGATAGCTGCAGTCACCTCAACAGAGCCAAAAAAGGGACCAGCATTACCTTGCTGATACAGTCCATTCTGAGAGGCACTCTCAGACTGTAGTTTTCTGTTTTTTGTCTTGATTTACTTTGGGTTTGGGGGTGAAAATAACATACGTTTCAGGAATCTACTTTTTCTCCTTTTGAGTATGTTTTAAAAACATGAAAAATATGATTAAACGAGTTAGAATTTGGTGTACTTCGATGGTAAAAGCAACTCCGGATTTTTTGAGAGAGGAGAAACATTTTCCATCTTAATCTTAAATTTCTTTTAATTAACAAATCAATTTACTTATCATCTTCTCCTGAAGCTGCATGCTATTGCATGCTGTATAGTCCAAGAATATTAGGATACTATAATCACAAAATAAACAAGAGAGTGAGGCAAAGCAGACTATGATAACACAAGAGAATAAACAGAAGGCTTACCCCTATTCTGGGCTCACCCAAAAAACTCCAGCAGAGCAAATCTCCAGAAAAGAACCTTCCGCACTGGCAGCCAGCTCTTAAACAGGTCCAGGAGGGGAGCAGCCAGGCTCCAGCCTTTCCGGCAGCACAGCTGAATTGCCTTCACCTGTGCTCCTCTGGCTGACTCAGTGCTCACCTCAGGTGATCCATCAGAGGTTCAGGCCGTGATTCAGCAGTTCCCATAGAACTGCCTCTCCAGAAACACACACCATCATGGGGCAGGTGGCACTGAGGACTCATGCTCTTGCCCTTCACAGCAATATGAGTTCAGCTGGAAGGAAGGCAAAGGGGAACATCTTGATGCTGTCCGTCATACTGTAGGCATTCCATCATTTTTTTTGCCTCCTTAAATCAGAACAGTCCTACAGCACATCGCCCCATCTGCAATACTACATCACAGTTGTCATCCACAACATCTAAAGACCACTGTGGTGTTGCAAGTAAGCATTAACAGAATATTTTGCGTAAATACGTCTTCAAATCACCCACCCTGGCTGGGAACTCTAGAGCTCTGGGGCTATCTGTGGCCTCCAGCACGTAGCTAAAAACTCCTGCAAGTAATTTCCAGTATGGCAGATGAAGGAAGCAAGCTCTTTCTGATAACTCTTGCAGTAATGCCTTGCGTATGGTGCGTGCCCGCACAGCAGAGGTCCAGACAGAGCAGATGTGACAAGAATCTGTGCTCAATATAGGAGGTGGCTAGGGAACTGCAAATTGGTTTGACACTGATGCCAGGCCTGGACGCAGCGCTGCAGATGGGGCCTCACAAGAGCTGCGCAGAGGGGGACGATCACCTCCCTGTCCCTGCTGGCCTCCCCTTTTTTAATGCAGCCCAGAACACAGTTGGCCTTCCAGGCTGCAGGAGCGCACTGCTGGCTCATGTCCAGCTTCTCATCCACCAGGGCCCCCAAGTCCTTCTCCGCAGGGCTGCTCTCAAGGGATTCTTCGCCCAGTCCGTACAAACACCTGGGATTGCCCCAACCCAAGTGCAGCACCTTGTACTTGGCCTTGTTGAACCTCAACAGGTACGGCAATCCATACTTCTGTTCCATTCCAGTACTCTGTAGGGCGCCTCTGGCAGAGGAGACACTCTGAAAGAGCAGCAAGACTTTTTGGCAGGGCCCAATGACAGCGCTCAGCGAGGAGACAGCTGACGTAAAGTCCTTTGGGTTACAGGCAGAAGTGCCGACACGCTTCCAGAGGGAAAATGCTATGAATGTGAGCAGACTGGGCTATTCATACAAGAATTAGTCTATATTCTGAATAATGACAACAGCTCTCTTTCAAAGCTTTATTAAAACTCATGTCTAGACAAATAACTGTTTCTCCTGATCAAAGTTCTGATGTATTAGCACACGTACAATGAAAGCCATAGTTTACTTTCATTTGAACTGTAGCCTTGGTGTACTCATATAAGGCAAGTGCCATCTTTTTGAGTGTGTACAAACTCAGCATAGTCAGTGCAAATTCTTTATTTGAATCAATGACCAATTTACAAGCTGGATCACAATTCCTTTTGCCACTAGAGCATGAACTGGTCTCTGTGGTTTACGGCTGCGAACTATAAAACTGTAGCAGTTATTTAAATCAAAATACAGTAGCTGCTTCTCCAGAGAGCATTGTTATCTCATATTTCTCATAAAATTAAAAGGATTTCATAACAAATGAAATATTACAGGATACTTCAGTGCAAACATTTCCTTTCCATCTAAGAAGCTCTCAGTTGTCCCACAAAGGATGACATACTCTTGAAATAGCATGCTGCCAAGATAGGCCATGAGAACTTTTAAAATTCAACGCTTAATACTTCTCAGAATGAGTTGCTCTGAATCAAACTGAAGGTCAGAAAGCCCTGATTACGTTACAGTACTTTTGTCAGAAAGTAACTGCAAATGGAGGAATGGACATTGTACCCACGATAGAATAAAACAGGCGCTGTTAAAAAAAAGTAAAAATCAACATCTGCCCGTATGTGCCATTCAGCAAGACTGATGATGATAACACAGTAGTTTTTAAGGAGCAAACTGCTATGCCTCACCTAATACCAACAAACCTGCATAAAATGCTGATCTATCCTTTCTCACAATTTTGAAATGACAGTCTTTAAAAATGAGTGAAAGGGGGAGACTTACAAGCATACACGTTCAGAAAACAGAAGAGGGTCAGCAGTAAACAAGTGCTGATCAGAAAGAAAATGCTGTCAGTAAATAGCGAGCACAGTGTTCAAGTGGTCTGATTAATACAATCTTACGTGTAGTGCAAAAAGAACAGTGAGTGTCAAAAATCAAATCCCACATTGATTTGTTGTGCTGCAGAAATCTAGCCATCTTTCATGAAGTTCCAGCAAAAACATTTTAAATAGCATAAATATATTCTGCAAATTTCCTTTCCTTTCTGAGCAGGCCTGTTGTTCCGTATGCTTTTAAAATGTGAATTTTCTTAGACAGGGTTTTCCAAGTGCTGAGCACTTTAAGAACAATTGCTGCTTGATAAACAAAACAGTACAGCAAAAGGTGTGCAGAGTCCAAATATGACAACAGATTACCTAACATCCCCGAAGTACTTAATGTGAACAAAAATACACAACAATGCAAATGTTAATGTTTTTTTCAAACCATCAATAATTTTATATTTGTTACTAGTGTTCTTGTGACATAAAATAGCCATTCCCTAGGAAACACTGGAAAAAAAAAAAAAAAAAAAAAAAAAAAAAAAATATATATATAAATTGCTTACTTTAGGAAAACACAGCCAGAAAATTCGGAAGAGGAAAGATGGGTTTGGATCTTGCAGCCCACGTACCTCCCACAAAGGAAGTACCTGGAAGCATTGAAAAAGCTTTATGCTTTCAGGTGTAGTAGACACATAAAAGAGAAGAAATACATAAAACAAAACAATTACTGTGTTTTCTTTCAGTACAGCACTGTTCTGTGTTTTATTCCAGTAGAACCACCAAGCTCTATGCCCAAAAGCTTTACAGCAGACTGGCTGTAAAGACTTGGCAATCAGTGACTTCAGCTTCAGCAAAGTCAGTTGGGAAGTTCCCTTTGACCTTGCAACAGCAGAAATTCAGCACCATACCTATTGCACGCATCCATTCCAAGTTACTGTTGCTCACAAATGATTCCCAAGGCCTGTCTGCATACAAACACGTGCTCTTCGTGGGGCAGTCTTTGGAAAAAAATATGAACTGTATCTTCAAGGAAGTTTACACAGAGACACTAAATGGGATCAGGCAGTCAGGAACAGAATGGCCTTGTACCAATCACCACATGAATGCATGAAAGGGTCTGGTCTCCACTGGAAAAATCGGTAATTAGAAAGCAAACAAAATTAAATCCCATAGTTTACTTTTGAAACTTTTTTTTTTTTTAAAGTGCAATTTTAAAATTATTGAAGGAGAACATGCTTTATCATCTGAGCAGACTTAGTTGGGCACCAAGCAGCTAACTAATACAGTGTGTCACCATTGTTTGTAAATACTGGGCAGGCAGAAAAACCAAGATGCCTCTTTCCAGGAGCTCAAGGTGAATAAAAGGAATTTAATGCAAGTCCCTGCTTTCTTTTTTTTTTTTTTCCTGCCCTCACTCTCTTTCAAACTAGAACCAAAGTGAGTGATTTGAAGAAAAACCGATACGATCAGTGAACAGAAATGTATTTTGGACTCAGACAAAGAAATAAGCTTGCACCACAAGTGTTTGAAATCACACTGGTCAGGTGTGAGGTTCCTCATGCTGCTCTTACCTCTCGTTCTAGATTTATATTGCTTCTCTCTAAAACGTTTCCAGCCACATTCCTTGAGGGATTTTGCCCTTGCCTGTCTCCTTTTGGATGCACACAAATGCATTTTGTAGAGATGTTTACCACAGCGGTGAGCACCAATGTTAGACAACTAAATGCTGACATTTTCATGAGTTTATCACAAAATCTCAAGTCCTTCATTAAACAAGCATTTTTTCAGTAACCATGGAAAGGTGAGTCACAAGGTGTTCCTGTATTACACTGCTAGTGAAGCTCTGCTCTTTAATACGAAGACAACCTCAATCTGTTATCAGTGTCTTTTTTTAGATGGCTGCCATGTTGACTTTGCTTGGTCTCGATGAGCTGTGCAGCTAACACAGCTGATTACCTCCAAAGGACACCTTATGTAGATATGACTACTTGAGTAACACTTCCAGAGAGCCATCCACGCATCACCTCTCTGTAGACCTATGTGACTTATTTTTTCCAATCTACTAGATTCCAGATTTGAATATCTATACATACACCACAGTCTTCCTTGAAAACTACTAGGTAATAGTAAGTTCCTTAGTTCCAAATTAAATATGCTTCACATAATGAAGTAACATGCTATTAACCCTAAAGAAACTTGTCCTTTTAATGCTTTCTTTCCAAACTTACTCTAAATAAGGCCCTTTTTATTGCCTGTCTGCAATACAAAAGACCACTTTCTTTCCACTCCTGGCATACATGTCTATCTTGTTTTTAATATGTCCCAACTGCTGCAATACTAAAAGTTATACTGGGATAGAGTCACACGTTCTCAAGTAGGAAACATCCTACCGTATGCAGGAGGTTCTTCAAATATCAAAGAAATTATAACACAGTAAAACAGTTTGTGTGACTGTCATTGTAATTTCACAGCACCCTTTATTTTTTTTTAATTTGGATATAACATCCTCCAACTTACGCTCACAGATAAATTTAGACTTGATCCCCAGAATAAAAATCCGCACAAAATTGAGAATCCGAGCACAGGTGCCTTCTGCATTTCACCCTTGTCATCATCCGACTACTGGAGTTTGCAGGATTATTAATGCAGCTGTGTGTCTTCAAATTACTACAAAGCAAGACATCCTGTATATTTGCAACTGTCTTCCTTACAAACCTCAGGCTAAGTTGGAGACAGACAAACAAATGCAAGAAAAAACCTCCAGGGTTCTGACTGCAAATTTTCGTAAGATGCTTAAGGGCTTTCCTATCTTTAAAATACACCTTAAAGTTGGTTCTTGACAAGAAAAAAAAACCAAAACAAAAAACCCAAAAAAACCGCCTACCCACTCCCTGGCATCTTCATTCAGTGGAAAAGGGAAAACTACTTCCTTTGTGCCTAAGCAGGCCGGTCCCAAATGAAATGCAAACATTTTAACTTTCTTTAATGGCCTTTTCAATCACAATGCAGCTCGGCAAACAGGCTTTGTAAAAGTAATCTATTAGGACTTTATTTGGCTACAGGAGCGCTGCCTCTTGGGCAATAATTCAAATTCACCAGACAGTATTTGCAAAATAATGGAAAATAATGGCTGTGAAGGAAGAAAATGAAAACCTGTTTTGTGTTCAGTAAGTTCGATGTCCTACATCAAATACTACCAGTGACTTCCAGGTGGCCACTACAGGTGACTCCAGCCTAGAAAACGCTGAGGTAAATGTTTCTTGGAAATACTCCTAATCCAAAAGAGCAAATAGTATTAATGTATTAGCAATTACTCTGCCATACATCATGATAAATTAAAGTCAAACCGAGAAGAAAGTGCCAATAATCCACATACATGCTTTGCTATGATAGTCTCCTGGTAAGGCTTAGCGGCAAGTACAATATGTATTTTTAAAAGAGCTCCACCTGATTTTCCTGCTATGCATAGATTCAGGAGTAACTATCATACATGGCTTTCATATATAACACACGTGTCATTTGCCAATGCTGTGTCATCAGAACTCAGTTCGGCAGAAGGCTCAGGAGCGGGCTCTGCTGGAAGTGCTGGTGTTTGAGGAAGGTCTTCTTCCTTGGTGTCCAACTGCACACTTTCCTGTGACTGACCGTCCACGCAGTCCTTTTTGGACAGCGGGTGAACCGACACTTTTATTGCAATCTGTTGCGGCGGCTCATGCAGTGATGATGCATCAGAGTCAGCTGTGGGAGAGTCACTGCGCTTCAAAGCATTCGGGATCGTGTAGAGCTCATCTGTTTCAGCGGTTTCCTGGCCTTCTGCTGTCTGCCGTACAAAATTCTGTCCTTGCTCCTCCAGTCCGACAACCTCCATAATTTCTTCCATTATAGTCCTGCAGTTCATGATGAGAGGTGGCAAAGGCACACTCCGAGCAAGCTCTTCGATATAGCGAGCAAATTCCATGGTCTTGAACTGTGTTACTTTGGCAAGCTCGAGCGTTTTGGCTGAAGTGATAATTGGGATACGTTTTGCAATCTCAAAGGCTTTCTGGAGTTTCTCTGCTCCTTCCGTTCTGAAGAATTCGTTGATTGCTTTCTCCGTTTTCTTCAGGTGACTGCTCATCATGCACAGCCGCGTAATGTTCAGTATCATAACAATGGTGAAAGCTACAAGGCAGACAATCATGTAGTAGATTCCCATATCTCCAGAAGTAAAGACGACCCTCAGAGTCACAGTATTGTTAACACTGCCGTGCATATTAGATGCGACACACGTGTATTTACCTCTGTCTTCAAAAGACACGCTGGTAATGTTTAGGAGCCCATTGTCAAGAAACCACCATTTTCCTGCTGGAAAGGAGAACACATAACTTACTTAGAAGCATCTCGTTCACGTGATTAGCATAGTTTACAATTCAGCTTTGTCAACTGGCTTCAGATTTTGGAAAAGGGAAATCACATGGATGAGAAAACAAAGAATTTGCCGTCACAAAAGGGTTTCTCCCGGAGATCTCCTCGCTAGTTAACAAATCACAGACACTGACTTCAAATCTATTATAATTTCATGCCTTAAAAGAGTCTCATAAAAATCAGTCAATACATATGACATCTACGAACATCTCACAGACAGATAAAAGGATGGCAGCTTATCCCAGAGAGCCTCCCAAACACATGCCCCACGTCCTCAAAGAACAATAACAAGATTGTGAGACAGAAAAATCTACTTGTTTTGTTCCCTGACAGTGCATTTTATTGCATCTTCATTGGGTTATTTTTGGTGTTTTGTTACAGTAACCTATGTAATTCTGTTAAAGTAAACTTTAAAAAGACAAGAATTCCAGAGGTACAGACTCAAGTATCTTCTACCTCCTTAACACAGCCCCAAGCCATTCCTGATAGGCATCTATTGAAATCAGTGATGGAGTTTCTATTGTCTTCCACAACAAGGGATTTCAGGTGCTTACCTATCCTTACTATTCAAGTTCTTTTTCCTAAAATCTAACTTAGCTTGCTGTAATTTCTATCTATTGAAGTAGCTGACCAAAGACAGCAGATCTGTGATGAAAGGACTAAAATAACAGAAAACTCCAATGCAGTGGATATAAATTCACATTGCTGCAGTCCTGCTGTAGGCTGGTGCACATCTCATATCTACATTTATTTTATCTTTTCCATCAAAGTTCTTCTGTTGTTGTTCAAAAGATTCTTCTATTTCTTACCTTATTTTTTTCCAGGAAGAATCTTTGGGCAATTTTGAAACTCAACAGTCCAAAAAAAACCCATTTTTAATACATAGCAGGTATGGGCTTTTATCCTTTTTGTGGATTTTTTTCCCTAATTAAACACACATAGAATAAATAAAATATTAGATTTTAAACCAGAACTTCACATAGAAGAAATCACTCCAATCAGTAGAAGATGGAGAAATTTTGAGTAGAACTGTTTTACAGTGGATGTGTCAACATCTGTAACACTTCCTTTTCCAGTTCTGGGTTAAGATGCACAGTACTGGCTGCTGGGCATTTCTTTGAATTGTAGTGTTGGCAAAGTAGGTCTTTATTCACTGTAAACTGACAAGACATCTTGCTGATGAGTTCTGGCTCCAACTACTACAAGTGAGATAACAGCACTCAACTGTGATTCAAAGACCCTGGCAGACAATGTAATCCACATGTGAAAACAATAAGTAGATAAGGTGTCATAGCTATATTTTTTTATAACAGCTGAACACCTTTTTCAGCCTAACCACACATATGCATCTTGTGCTAGGGAACGTTTCTTACGTGAACCGTATTCTTAAACAAGTGCAGTGCTGAAAGTCCAAGATGAAGTTACATTTTCTTACACCACATTTGCATTTTCATTGATTTGCTCAAAGTTTTTGCTTATCTACCTGACTGCTTGTGTCAGCAGCTACCTCTCTGTCAACTACACTAAGATCAAAAGTTAGATGCCTAGCTAAACAGGAAAGCTTCTATTAGTAAGCCCTAGCAAAACTCTCTATGTGGTCCTATGACCATGCACATATTACGTCGGCTTAACTAAGTCAAGCAGCTTCTTTCTCCAGCTCTATAGAAAATACATATATATATAAAACATTCAAATGTGAAATACAATCTGTTCTGTAATAGATTGTTATAGATATGCTGTTGTAGCACTTAGAGTTGGGTCAATCATTTCCATAATTCCGTAACTCCATAGAGTTGTCCCTCAGTTCAGCTGTTATTTAGACAAGCTGTCCTGCAATTATTATAAATTATTAAGAGTTTATTTCATCGTGCTGTGAACAAAGCAATCAGTATAGAAGCATTACAGGAACAAAAGGAACAAAACACCTTCCATCTCCCCCCCACTAAATGTTCCCTAAAAGTACAATTATCCACCAAACCTTCCTTGTACCTAAGGACAACAAGCTCATGTGAAATGAAGGTCTCTGGCAAATACAGCAGTCCTAGTGCAGCCAGAATGGCTCACACATGGCTCGTCCATCTAACCACTGCCCGCTGTGGGAACTGTTGAACCATGGCCTGAACCACTGATTGATCACCTGAGTCAGCCCTGGGAGCACAGGTGAAGCTGTAGCCCCCGTTTAAGGGCTGACTGCCACTGGGGAAGGGTCTCTTTCTGGACATCCCTCCTCTGTGGAGTCCTTCCCGAGAACCTGGATCTTCAGATTCAGGTGAGCATAGAATCATAGAATCACAAGGTTGGAAACGACATGTAAAATCATCCAGTCCAACTGTCTCCTCATCACCATTGCCACTAAAAGCACCAGAGCACTCCTTCCCTGCTTGTTTTTTTTCCCCATTTTCACCATAATCATCTTTCCAGCTGTAACACCAACTATAACATGCCCCTACATAGACTTCTTCGTTGGTTATTCAGAGCAACTCCTGTTTCTCACACATGTCAAGGTACATAAAGATGGGGAGAGCAAGCAAGAAGTTACTTTCTTTGAAACTGTGCCTATGAACTCTTCCCATATGCCACGAAAATCTTTCCTTGAGTTGGAAAACAGCTTTTCTGTCTTCCATGGTGTCAGAGAAGAACAAAGAGAAGAGAATGAATAATAGGATCAAACCTGAAGTCTTCCACTGAAAAGAAGCCTGCCTACAATACAAGCATTTCAGCTTCTTGCTACGGTTTGCTATAAATAACACACTACAAAAAAATTTTCTTCTGAGACGTACACAACATTTATAGCTGTATAATCAAAGAATATTAGGATGTTACAATCACAAAATAAACAAGAGAGTTAGGCAAAGCAGACAACGAAAGAGAATAAATAGAAGGCTTGCCCCTATCCTGGGCTCACTCACAAAACACCAGCAGAGCAGATCTCCAGAAGAGATCCTTCCCCCCTGGTAGCCAGCTCTTCAATAGGTCTAGGAGGCAGCACAGCTGAATTGCCTTCACCTGTGCTCCTCTGGCTGACTCATGGCTCGCCTCAGGTGATCAACTGGAGGTTCAGGCCCTGACTCAGCTGTTCCCATACAATAGCTGATACGATTTGTATATTTTCCTGCAGGAAAATACCAGTGTGCAGTTATTAAATTAAGGTTAATTTTTAGTTAACTTGCTGAAATCAGAAGTGTCTCAAGACAGGCTACATTGCTGATAATTAAAAACCTTACCTTTATTCTCTTCCTCTTGGAGCAGGCGGCCGTTGGAATTGTACCATCTGTAATGTGGACTAGGGCTACCTTGGACATTGCAGTCAATCAAGGCACTACACCCCTCCTTGACTATGATGTGGTCGATGTGGGAGATGACCACAGGCACAGATCCTGTGTTTGTGCCAGTGCGGTTGAAAGTGCTGTTAGTCACATCCTCAGCAGTTGTCAGAGCTGCTAGTAAGATGACAAGGCGTATGGTAGGCAGAAAGCACGAAGAGTGGTGCCTGCTCAGTATGTTCATTTTCCTTCAGTGCTATACGCAGCTGGCTGGAAACTGGAGTTGGTTCTGTACAATGTAGGCCCTTGAGGTGAGGAGGTCACAAGAGAGCCTTATTTTGATCCATGCAATTTTTTTTTTAATATCCTAAAAAAAATAAGGAAGTATAATGAGATGGCCCGTATAAGCAATCCATTAGATGTGCTCCTTTAAAACAGTGACACATCCATTAATGCATTTCACAATCATCAGCTCAATGTCTTGTCTAAATGCTAATGTTATCAGGCCTTTTTCTTACTGGAAAAAGATGCATACATTTTCCTGTTGTTCAGAGCAGCAGGCGTAGGAGAAAGCTTTTATCACCTAGACACTTAGCAGCAATTTAGCTACAGCAGCAGCTACAATTTTATTCCAAAAGTTCTACAGATTTTTTTTTCTTTTTTTTTACACCTGCAAAATCAACAGGGGAACAAAGGTACAGCACATTAAAGCTCTCACTACCAGTTCAGTGCTGCAGCTCTGTCATGCACAGTCTTAGTTGAAATGTGGAACGTGTCAGAAGGAAGAACCACTCCAGGAAGGGGTTTTTGGAGCTGCTGTTAGAGCCCTTAGCATTCAGTTTTGTCTGAATACAGTAGAGCATACAACAGAACATCTAAAACCATTCCCTTTTTTTTTTTTCCAGATTTTCTGAGATAAAATGTAACATGGAGGAGATAGGTAAAAGAGGGTATTTAGTAGTTCATAAAGTCATTTTTAGAGCACATTTGGAAAGAAAAATATTTGCTAGTGACATGCTTATGGGCAAGGTTGCCTTGAGGTACAAATGAAGCTGGGACTTTTCTATTCCTTATGTGGCCTTAAGTATTTTGCTCGTTCCGTTTTTGCACGCTCTCACAACAATATTTTTCCTCAACTAACCATCTACAATGAGCCCTTTATTTAACAATGACTTCAGTTTGTAGACAGAGGAGAGGGAGTTACAAAAGTGCTCTCTACTGGCCTTATTATGCTCCCAGAGAACACAATGGGCATTTGCCACTGACTGATGGCACAATGTTGACCTCAAGATGAGCACCTCTCAAAATTTTACTCAGAGTGAGTGAGGTGCTGGAACAGCTGCCCAGAGAGGCTGTGGATGCCCCGTCCATCCCTGGAGGTGTTCAAGGCACATCTTGAACATCTATCACATCTATCTGCAATCTAAACATAGGTCACAGTTAGTATCCAACAAATGTGCCCTAAGCGAACATTTCACTTGCAAAACTGTTTACATTGTACTGAAGATTCGTTTGATGTCATGGTACCTCATCTGCTTTAGCATGGAGAAATGACTGCCGACAAAGTTAGGCAAATTACACATAAACAAGGAAAACTAAAATAAAAGCCTCTTCTTTACTTAGAAAGAAAACAACATCACTGTCTTTCACTGGTTCAATTTGTCTTAGGCTGTTTTCTTCTCCATTCCCTATTCTCTGTAATGCAATGAAGTTGATTTTGTACAAATGGATACAGCTGTTACTAAAAGAGCAGATTAGTTTTCTCTAATCTGTGGGATGGATCATTACTGGAAACAAAAGGCTATGTTTGTGGTTTTTTTTTTTCTTCTGAGAAGCTGCATGAATGGTATGGATGGCTGTCATTGCTTCAAGTCTGCCCTCATTTTCTCTCAGTTTTCCTAAATACTGAACGTGGAAATACCTGCCTTGATGAGGCAGAATTATTTTTAACCTTAAATTAACATGCAAATCTCATTTGTCCTGTCCATGTAAAACCACACGAACAATCACTTCAGAAATCCATTTCCCTCTGTGCAAACTGTGAAAAGTCTAAATTCTAGACATTCTCTATAGATAGGCACAGTGTGTCTAAATCTCTGCCTTGGAAAAAGTCCTTCAAATCTGCTTATTCACTTCAACAACTATTTACATCTAATTTCTACTATTCCATCAACCTTGGAGACAGCCATTCTCTATGGTTACATAGATTCAGTCTATAAAATGTTTGTGTACAGTGTTATAGATCTGCATTGCACCATAGAGAAAAGCCAAAAGACATGTCACACTTCCTGGCAAGGGAAGGAGGAACAAAGACTGGCTGGTACAAGACAGTAGGAAGGGCAAAGGAACAACATAAACTGCTCAAGCTTTTATTGCTAATTACTGACTGCAGCCTGTTCTTGTTGTGTGTGAGCATATTTCTGATGGCAGAAAAATCTGTAGCAATCCAAACTGTTGTTTGGTACAGAAAATAATTTGAATCCTAGACAGAAATGAAACATCACGCAGCAGGTGAATAGGACCCTCAATCTATTGGGAAGCTCAGTTTGGTTGGTGGCTTTGGTGGCCCAGTGAGTCCCTGCTGTGCTTGGGCTGCTATGGATGGATGTTTTGGAAAGTGTGCGGTGGCAGAAATGGTGTGAGGATACCTATTCTGTGTGTTTAGCTGTGCTTAACACAGAGCACATGAAAGCAAAATCTGCACCTTTGTGTAGTGGTAACAAATCTGACTGGTTAGCGTGGTCAAAGGGGCTGATAACTTGTCTGAAAATAACAGCTGCTCCCTCCTTCTGGCACAACGCAAGTGAATCACACATAGATGCAGTAAAAGTTAAGATATAGAGACAAAATAATTGACATCTACTGTGGGAAATTAATACCTACTTGTGTTACTCTTGGGAATGTACTTTCTCATGTATGTTCCTGGAATGCAGAATGCTATGAAAGCACTTAATGCCTTCACAGGTGCATATCTGCTTGAAATAAATACAGTTTGATGGCTGCTATGAGCAATAACCAAGCAGGAATCTTAACACAGAATGTTTGGGAGTGGTGGCTGCTGCTTTCATGTGCCATCCAGGGAAGGCCTATTGATGGTCATCTGGTTTTATCTGAAGAATGAGAGAGAAATCTCTCTGAAGAACAGTGTTTTGAGATGCTAGTTTAGACAAATGTTCCTAGGCAACGAAGAATAGGAGATCTTTTCTTTGGTGTGCATCCTACGCACTGTTAGTGGATAACAAAAAAAAAATATGGAAGAAACCAAAGGTTTTCTCAGCTCCACCTATTAAGAGAAAGTTAAAGGGTAGCCACTTGGGTAACTATCCATCCTGGACCCTCTGCTAAGCTGCTGTGCAGGACCAAAAACGTCGTAGTCAGGTTTGGAAAGCAGGAAGGAGAATTGGAAACAGTAGAAAATGTGCTGACACCAGACTGTGCAGCAAAGGGAGATGTCCTGAGAGTTTCCATCCTGCTTTTGCCTTACGCGCAGCAGCAGCTGAGGATGTTAAGGAAAGCAACTCTGGGAGTCACTGCTTTCTTAAACATAAGGGATGCAATGGGCTTTGATTCAATTACACAACTAAAAGGCAGGCTCAGGGCACTGAAACAGGACTGCTAGTGATGTCAGCCCACTTCTAGTGAAGACACATGAGAATCCAGGGTATGGGAGAAGTGGGCACAGTGCTAATTGCTCTGGTTCTTGGCCATGACAGGTTTTACTGAACTGTGGCTCATAATGAAAACTATGAAGGCTGCCAAATTCATAACCTTTTAATTTCACTCTTGGTCAGAGAACAGCTAGACTGGCTAGACTAAAGACTCCTGCAAGAACTCCTTAAGACTGAGAGTAACACAGGATGCTTGTGAAGGGGGACATCGTAACACAGGGTATTGCTCAAAAACAGCACAAGATGAGCTATGTGAGGGAACTGCAATAGGCTTTTCTTCTAAGTGACAGGACAGCTGTCTCTGTGGTGCTATCTCTGCCTTTTTATCTAGAGAAGTTGCCTGGAATAGGCTTGAGAGCAAGCACAGCCGCAGGCTGATGGTATCAGTCCTGACTGTGAAATGGACCAAAACTGAGACTAGAACTTCTCTGTCCAAAGCCACTGATGGTCTTAATAGAAGACACTTGCAGCAGACTGGCTGGAAACACAAATGACTCAGAGAAATGTTGTGACTGACCGTTTACTTTTTCACATCATAGATGACTTTGCTTCCCAGTATTACTGCTGCAAAGGAAAAGTACTGTGAGTGAGGTGCTACATTTTAAAGCAGTGCATTTGTGCAGAATGACATGACAGCACAAAACAACGTAAGTCAGTGATGCATACCTTTTCCTGGCTTGCATGCTCCTGTAAGACTTGCCTGTTCTTGTACTTGGAATAATGTATAATCCTATTAACTGTGAGGTTATTCAATTCAGAAGTGAAGCACAAAAAGTCAGTTCAAATGCATAAATTATAGACCTACAACTTTAACATCTCAATGCTGTCTTGCTTAGTTTTTAAGTGACCAAGAAAATGAAATGAGTTTCACTTTATAAATAACAATCAAGAATGATGCTACAAAACAAAATTAATGCTAATTATTTTTTTTTAACTACATATTACATTTCCTCTTCAGGCCAATCCATCTCTTAGTTGCCATGGGCAATGCCTTTTCAAAGTGGGCAACAGTAAAAGCTAACAGGTGTCACTGGAACAGGAATGCAAATGAAGGAACACTGTTTCATCATAATGATACACAAGCTGGGATGTTCATTGCCAGTTCCTAGGAGAGTGAAAATTACCTAATGAAAAGATTAAGCTATTAGGGTCCAGATAGCAGATGAAGAGAAATACAACTCATATACATCTTGCAGCAACTTCCTGACCTGTATCTCTAGTCATTTGCTAGTCAATAAAATACTGCAGCTTGGTTCTCAAAAAGCTGTTTTTCGTTCTTTTGGGGAGGATTTCAATCCTTCCTAACTTCACTGTCTTCCACTTTCCTGGCTACTGTGTCATATAGGTGACACGCTGGCAGCATTTGTAGGTTGAAGAGCTTCGTTCTGCCCATCTAGACTGCAGCTTCCAGCTGGGCAGCAATTCCCAGCTAGGTGTGTTTTAGTCTCTTTGGCTCCATGCAGCTGCCTGGGAAGCTTTCAGAAACTTCTTGTCAAGGCTGTGTGATGCTGCCCAGGCCCTACTGGCAATGCTGCTTGGTGACACACTTGCTGCCTTCAGGCACGCGATGTGAGGGTATGAGGGACACAGACCCAGGCTCCTCTCACAGGAGCAAAGATCACAAACAAGGGACACAAGCTGCTACAACAGAAATTATGG